CCACGAGAACCATGTTCGCGAGGTGCTGCGTCGCTTGCAGGCGAATGGCCTGTACTGCAAACTCCCCAAGTGCGAGTTTTCCGTAACCACTTGCGAGTACCTCGGTTACATTCTCTCACCCGACGGTTTCCGAATGTCGCCCGAGAAGATCGATGCCGTTACCGACTGGCCGACTCCTCGGAAAGTCAAAGATATTCAATCTTTCCTCGGGTTTTGTAATTTCTATTATCGCTTCATCTATGCCTATTCCGACATCACAATTCCTCTAACCCGACTTACTCGCTCCAACGCGCGTTGGGATTGGAACAAAGATTGTCAGTTCGCTTTCGACACACTGAAGCGGAAATTCAAGGAAGCACCAGTCTTGTCCCACTGGATACCGGGTTGCCAGATAACGGTTGAAACCGACGCTTCCGACTACGCCATCACCTCGATTCTGTCAATCGTCGGCGACGATGGCGACATCCACCCAGTTTTGTTCTGATCCCGAACACTTGGACCATCGGAACTTAACTACGACATGCACGACAAAGAGCTCTTAGCGATCTTCAACGCCTTCACGCAATGGCGACATTATCTCGAAGGTCCCGAACTCCCGATCGACGTTGTCACCGACCATAAAAACCTAGAATACTTTGCGACGACGAAGGTCCTCACGCGTTGCCAAGTCCGATGGTCGGAATACTTGTGCCATTTCAATATGGTTATCCGGTTCCGACTGGGTAAGCTCAGTGGAAAACCCGATGTGTTGACTAGACGATGGGACGTCTACCCAAAAGAGGGGGATAAGCACTACACTCAGTTAAATCCTCACAATTTTCGTCCTATTTTCACTCAAGAACAACTCGACGCATCGCTTCGAGCCACATTCCTAGAAGAGATCATTCTTCGCGCTTCGGTCGTCTTGGATATCGCTCAGCTATACGCAGACATCAAGGTCCATATCCATTCCGACCCGGCTGCAGCTGCCGGTCTAGCGGCTGTCGCTTCAGGAAAAACCTCGCGCTGGACTATGAATGACGATGGTCTACTTCGGTATGATGGTCGCATCTGGGTTCCGCAGGTCTCGGGCGAATCTCCCGACCAGCTTCGGATTCGCGTCATGCAACATTTACATGACCATATCCTCGCTGGGCACTTCGGACAGAACAGAACTCTCGCTAAGGTACGAAGCGAGTACAGCTGGCCCGATCTTCGGTCTTTCGTTCGCGATTATTGCAAATCCTGTATCCTGTGCAAGCACAACAAGGCTCCGCGACATCGGCCGTACGGTTTCCTCAAACCCCTCCCGGTTCCCCTTCGTCCGTGGCACTCAATATCCATGGACTTCATCGAGCAGCTCCCGATGTCGGGCGAGTACGATTCGATCCTAGTGATCGTTGATCGCGCGTCCAAGCAAGTTATCCTGATTCCTTGCGACGTCCACATCACATCGGAACAGCTCGCCCAACTTTTCCTTATTCACGTTTTCCCCAAACACGGGGTTCCGACTCATGTCACTTGCGATCGAGGAAAGGAGTTCATCTCGTCCTTCTTCTGATCGCTCAGCGAATTACTTAACATGAAGATGCACTATACTTCAGGTTATCATCCCTCGGCCGATGGACAGACCGAGCGAATGAATCAAACCGTCGAACAATACATCCGGATATTCTGCTCGTACCAGCAGGACGATTGGGACCGACTCTTCCCGCTCTGTGAGTTTGCTCTCAACAACGCTCCGAACGCATCGACAGGTATAACACCCTTCTTTGCCAACAAGGGCTACAATCCGACGATCACAGTTCACCCGGAAATCGACGTCGCAAATACTTACACCAAAGATTTCGTTGTCGACCTCCAAAACCTTCACCAATTCCTACGCGAGCAGATCACATATGCTCAGGAGCGGTACAAGGAAACTGGAGATCGGGTTCGCGCTCCCGATCCCGATATTAAAGTCGGCGACCAGGTTTTCGTCACTACGAAGAATCTCAACACGACCCGACCGACTCGGAAGTTCACCGAGACTCATGTCGGGCCGTACGAGGTCATCGGAAAGCCCTTGGCTGCTTCGTATACCATTCGCCTCCCCAAATCCCTATCCCAAGTTCATCCGGTTTTCCACGTTTCTCAACTTGAGCCTCACTTCCCGAATCCGTTCCCTGGTCGCGAAGAACCTCCTCCCGCAGCGGTCGAGGTAGACGACGAGGGCGAGCATTTCGAGATCAAACAGATCGTCGACTCGAAGCTCGATAAAAGGTTCAATAAACCTTTATTCTATCAAGTGGAATGGCTCGGGTACGAGAACACCGTATGGGTGGGTCCCCGCCAAGGATTTAGATGCTGCTGAGCATATCGAAAGCTTCCATCGACGTTATCCGAACAAACCCGGTCCCGAGAATCGCAAATAGACACGACCCGACCCTCGGGTCGGCTCGCCTTACTCGGATCGCTGTCAACAAATCGGAAAATGATTGTATTTAGATTCAAACAAGAAAAAGAAACCAAGAAAAAATACAGTCCGTCTATTCATCGTCCTCATTCTCTTTCTCCTTTTCCTTCCCACCATCCTTCGAACTGCCCAAAATGAACTCCTTCGCCTTGGCCCTCGCTAAATCCGCCTCCAACTTGCGCTCCTCGGATGGCGACTTGGCGGGATACAATCCCCACGTATCGATGGGTGGCAGGCGCGGAAGAAATCCATGCTCACCCTCGTTGAGTGGACCAATGGGGGTGGACTCGCTGTAGTGGTACCAGACCGGGGCAACCGGCCGATGCGACATCGCCCAGGAAAACCCGGGCTCAAACTCCCGGATCTCTTCCGCAACCCGAACCCGAGTCCGATGGAATTCCTCCTCTCCTTTCGCCTGGAGAAGCTGGAGTAGGAAGTGGCGAAGGACCACTATCTGGCGGCCGTTGTGAGTCGTGCGATAGAGAGTCAAATCTCTGGTCATGTCCTCCCGGTTCTCCAGCTCGGCGATCCTCTCCTTCAACGTCACAATATCATCCATCGCTTCTCGCAACTGGTCGCGGTCGCCCCGATCGGAAACCTCTGCTCGCTCCCTCCGAGTCAGCGGATCACTTCGCAGGATTCGCTGGCGAGACGGGTGATTGGGGTCGGGGATCTGTTTCCCGTCCCGACCTCACTTCTTCGACATTGGGGTTTTCAGCGGCGTGCTCGGGTCTTCCGACCTTTCTGACCTTTCCGACCTGGGCTTGCGCTGCCGGCGTGGGCGAGGTCTGGGTTCGCCAGTACTGAACGAACATCGGACTCGACGCTCGCAACAGCGTACGCACGAATTGTCGCCATTCGTGAGCGTCTTGGAGATGCAGTCGTCGCCGAACCGAATACACACTTTGCATTCTGAATCCGATCAGTTCTCAACTCCTAACTGGCAGCGAAGAGTCATTTACTTCCCGACCCGACCAGCGAGCCGCTCGTCGCTATTTTCCGAACCTTGATGATGCTTCCCGGTGGTGCTCCGCGCTCTTCCGGTTTCCCTGCGACGACTGAGCGACCGACACCCATCTTGCAGGTGTTTCCTACAACCTTGGAGGAATTGAGGTGTTTCATGTCCTCGATCTGTTTCTTCGCCTGCTGCTCCTTGTTCCGGCTGATTTCGATCTGGTGTCGTGCGGCCTCAGTAATACACGCCCGCATTCGCTGAATCTCCGCGAGGTCCCTAGCGCGTTTCTTCGCCGCCGTGTCCGCCTCTGCCGCTCGTCGCCCCTCCTCCGAATTCTCGTCCTCAGGATATCCTCGCCTGCCCCTTGCGTCACCACCATTCCCTCCGCTAGATCCACCGACGGCACCCTTCTGGTTGTTGTTTGCTGCGGACATGGTGTTGTGGAGCGCGAAGGTGGCGAGGAGATGGTGGCGAGAAGAAAGAAGTGAAAGTCAACTTACGGCACCACACCACGTGATCAAATCAACACGCGACGTCATTCAGCAATTTTTGGCGAGATTTATTTTTAATTAAATTCTTCAACCACAGCAGTTTTTAAATTCCCCAGGACCTGAGTCGGACTATTGTTCGTCTAGGGATCTGAACCCAAGAGGGGGATACTGTTATGTCCGTGCAAGGGCTTACTCGGTCGGCCGACGAACTCGGCCGACGCAAGGAAGCTCGGGAACTTTCCGAGATATCGGAAAGTCCTCAGGTTATCTTCCCGAGGTTGGGTTCAGCAATGAAGGTCTGCTGAGCATTGCCCGTTTATCCTGCCTCATGTTCGCCTCACGTTTGCCTCATGCTCGCCTCATGTTGTCTCAGCCCTGGGGCTTCTTTAATACTACCATACTAGACTTCCATATTGGGACTTTACCTTGTTGTCAAGTCCACATGCTCCCCATCCGATAACGTTGGATATTCCCACCACTATACTAGAACTACTATTTAATAGCCTTAGGATACATCCTGTTCTTCAGTTTAATAATTGAGTTGCTTTGCCTTCCCCGCATTGCCTCTGGGTTCTTTCCGACATCTCTCTATCTTGTTTTCCCCCCGCTGTAGCGCGAGTAGTATGCTCACCCTCGCTCCTGTGGTGTTGCGTCACTCCGAGCCGTCAGTGCCCTTCCCGACAAGTCGGGTAACCTCCCGACCCGATCTCGTTTTGACTTACCCTCGCTGCTCGCTCGGCCCCTTGCTCACCTCTCCTCTGGGCCTGGACATAACACCTAAGCACATTTAAGCAAGGCAATGGCTCTAGGATGAATTTGAAACTCAGATTGACCAGGTTTACCTTCATAGACAGGCTGGTTTCAAGCCTAAGTGCTTTAGGGCAACACAAAGCCAACCACAGAATAATCCTATCTTCTTCAATGAGGGAATGGTGGCCTAGCAGGAGGATAACAGCCACATTGAAGGCCCCAAAACACAAACCACAGAATAATCCTATCTTCTTCAATGAGGGAATAGTAGCCTAATAGAGGCATAGTAGCCACATTGAAGGCTCCAAACAAGAATGAGGAAACAGTAGCCTAGTAGCAGGATGGTTGCCACATTGAAGCCTTAAAAAATGCCTGCCTAGCTCAATCGGATAGAGCGTCAGACTCTTATTTAGGCGGGTTATCTGAAGGCTGCGAGTTCGACCCTCGCGGTGGGCTAGAATATTGTTTTGTTTTTCCGCCGATTTTCCTCTCCATCCGTCTATATTGTCTTCTTTTATCTCAGATATTCTTCGGTTTGACAATAAACATTTCTCCAAAGCAGATTGAACCTATTTCTGGCCTTTGCTCCTCTTACTCCCCTTGCTACCTCCCTCCACTCTGACAAGGGTTAGGCCATAGCAATATACACTTACCCTGTGTCTCAGTGGTGTTGTGTTCTCCTTCACCTTGGTTCAAACCTCCCCAATGTCACCCCGCTCATCCCTAACCAATCTTGGGACCACCTGACGCAACCTCTGGCTTCCTCGCAGCCCTCACCAGCGTCTTCCTAGACCCAATCATAATGGTGTATTATATTGGGGCAACCATATGCAGAGTACCCATTGAATCATTCCAGTTCACTCCAGTCGACTCTGGTCTTTGGATTACCGGAGACCTATTCTGGAGTGACTTCTAGGGTCATTTGACTTCAAGCATTGAAGGTAATTTCATTGTTTCCCGTTCATCTGTCTTACTCTGCCTCATGCATTATGCTTACTACCACCTCATGCCTATTATCTTTGATCATTGCCCGATATTAACTGACTTGTCTTTCTGCATATGAACTTCACTTTATTGTTACTTCCACATGCTGCACCTTATATCCCCTTTGCCTATTACAATGAGACTCTTCACTATTTAATCACTTACTTACTTTCTATACTTCAGTAGTTTCATAAATGTTGCTTCCTTCTCTCTGAAGTACTATCTGTTGCTTCCAGTCTTCTCCCCAGTCCCTCTTGACTCTGTTCTCTTGTCTTGACAATTCCTGGCAGTATATGTGTAGAATTGAGCTCAGGAAGGTGTTTGCAAGCAAGAGGTAATTGCGAGGCAAACCAGTGAAGTAACTACCACAAGTACTCGAGCTTTTATTTGTAGGCATAAATCAAATAGATAAAGAATATGAAATAGAGGAGTCATGGGATCCATGAAACAATGTAGGTGCATGTCATGATCCAACTCTTTTACCTAGACCCCGGCCAGGGTCTGATGATCGAACCACTAGGTTCCTTTTCCGGAATTTGTGATGATGATCAACCATCACATCAAAACCCGAGACGACTCAATCCCAATTGAGCCGTATCTTAGTTTCAGTCTTTAACCCCTTAACTTCTGTTCACTGACAGTTGCTATTGTTCTACTTGTTATTAATAATGTCTAAGTTACGCTCCTATGGCTTCTCTAGTATAAATACCCTTAGATAGATGCATGTACAGTATACTATTCTGGTCTACTCTCCAGTGGCTTATACTTGTTATCCCTTTTGCCTTGTTCTCTCGCCTCAGTCGGACCCAATTGCAAACCCTGACAATAGGTCTCTGTGCTGACAGTGCATAGCAACAGATAGCTATCCACATGGTGGATAAGGAAAACCACATGGTCAGGCTTAAATATCCAATGACATGCTCATACCCCTCAGTAATGGTGTGCTAAGCAGCTCCGCCGATCTTCTGTTTTCACTCTGGTTACTCCTTTGATTAGGCAGTATTGCAGGTCTTTCTTTTAGTCCCAAGTATGCACCTATTCTGTAAGGGGTAGGGGATGGTCATATGATGCTTGCTAGTAGCTATCAATCTATCACTTTAACCACCACCTCGTCTAAGGCTAGTCAGTTGGTCACCTTTACTGAGCTGTGGTGTTCCGAGAATGGCTGATCTTAGACATCTGATTGCCTGCTGGTTTATGGCTCGATTCCATTCTGGCATTCTGATTGGATATTGCTTCCTTTGTGGTTCAGTACATAACACCCACCTGGGGTTCGCTGGCCTTGGATTATCTCGCCATCTAAGCTGCGGCCGTGTCCAGCGAGCACACATTCTTGGCTGGTAGCATCACAATTTTGAAGTGGTGTAATCGGCTGAAAGGTGACATTGTTGAAGCGCTGCAGTTCAAGTGTACTTTGCGTGGTGATCTCCTCTTCCCTGATTTGCTGTCATCAGTGAATGAACCCACACTCAATGACCCCGAGGCCACAGAGGCCGACAAGGCGGAGGACGACACGAACGAACTGGGTGGATTAGGTTACAGGTATATGGGATAATTTTTTGCCTGACGAGCCGGATGAGGGTGAGGATGACAACAAAAATTTTATATTCCAGTTATGATTATTTCATTCAATGTTGATGACCTGTACAACCCAACTGAGGATTACGGACGTGGATTCTGAGGACCGCCTGTCAAAAAGGCACCCGCGTCATGCGCTAAAACCAGACTGATGGGCCCGGCCCGGGGCCCGACCTGCAGGGTCGGGTGCAGGATATATTTCCTAGATTAGCCCCCAGTAAGTCCCAGAGTCATACAGACGATGATACCGTCAGTTTCTAGCCGTTACGGCTCTCATGAGAGTTTTGTGCTTGAATAAGGTAGTGCAAGAGTCTTATTGTCCTCCCAGCAGCAAGAACATCAAGGCCTCATGGAAACCTGTTTGTGCTGAAAATAATAGTGAGCAAGTGTATCAAGAATTCTCGAAGTGTCATTCTTAAGCATTGTAGTGCACCCAATCAGTCCCTGGATGTCTAGCCCTACACGCGCTAAAACTAAGAACATCAGAAGAGTGTATTGTTCAAAAATAGAAGGAAAAAGAACCGACACCTGTGCGATTCGAACACACGCGGGGAAACCCCAATGCCTGACTTAATAGCAGGGCATCGCCTTAACCACTCGGCCAAAGTGTCGTTATGGACGCTAACAGAAATAAGGATTGCTATGGGGCCGTGAGTTGAAGTTGTGTGGGCAATGGCCTGATCGAGGAATGGATTATAGTGTGCAGTTCGCATATATACCTGCCCACTGGAAGAAATGGGCCGGTTGGGCAGAGTGAAACAGGTAATCTCAAGTATCATACATCCAGCCCTTGCAGCGAGACTTGAATCTGTGGTCTGGAGCAAGCCCAGAATGATGGCGGGATTTCATAAGCGGTGGCAGTGAGGGGGATCAAACTCTCTCTAATGTCGTCGGTGTCGTCGCCGTTGACGGCGTCGCGGTCGCCGTCGCCCGAGCCGCTAGTGCAGCCAGACCACTTCTATGGCACAGACCCGTCCCAGCTGCCACCATCACCCGACTCGGAGGGCAAAACTTTCCTGTCCCCCGACGACGACCCCCTAGCCCACCGCGGCATCCCCGTCTTCAAGCCCAGCATGCACGAGTTTGCCGACTTTGAGGGGTACATGACCCGCGTCGAGTGCTGGGGCCGCCGCTCGGGCATCGTCAAGATAATTCCCCCCAAGGAATGGTCCGCCGCCCTCCCCGATGTCGTTCCCCAGCTCGCACACGTCAAGATAAAGAGTCCGATCGAGCAGTTCATGCGCGGGAGAGCAGGGCTGTTCAGACAGGAGAACATGGAGAAGCGCAAGCAGATGAGCGTCCGCGAGTGGGCAGAGCTCTGCGCAAAGCCCGAGTTCCGCGCACCCGGCAAGGACCAGGTCGGGCTCCACAACAACCCCAGTGCCCAGCCCGCCCCCCGCACCCGCCGCAAGAAGGCCCCCTCAAAGCCCAAGTCCGAGCCCGCCGAACCGGACACCACCGCAATGGCCTCGCCCCCGAATACCGCCTCCCCCGACCCGGAGGACACAAAACCCACCACCCCCGTGGCGGACGCAGACGCAGATGCCGACGCCGACGCAAATGACGCGGACAACGTCAGCCCAAAGAAGCCCCAACGCAACCGCCGCACAGAGCGCGCGGACAAGGACGCATCGTTCCTCGACTCGTTCGTCCCCCATAAAGACTGGCTCCCGCCCGACACCGTCGCCACCGACTACACCCCCGAGTTTTGCGCAAAGCTCGAGCGGGCGTTTTGGAGGAATTGTGGGTTGGCCAGGCCGGCTTGGTATGGCGCGGATACAATGGGTGCGAGTTTCATTTGATGGTGTCGCGTCGCGTCGCGTTTGTTTCCTCAATGTACTAATCCCTCCCTAGGCTCCCTTTTCACCCCCGCCACCACCGCCTGGAACGTCGCCACCCTCCCCTCCACGCTCTCCCGCCTCCTGCCCCTCAGTAGCGGCGGGCTCCCCGGCGTCAACACGCCGTATCTGTAGTACGTCTCCTTTCCACTCACCCCCATTTTTCGTCCTCGCTACTATCTATTGAACCCGAACTAAACGCCCCCCAGCTTCGGCATGTGGCGCGCCACCTTCGCCTGGCACGTCGAAGACATGGACCTCTTCTCCATAAACTACATCCATTTCGGCGCGCCTAAGTTCTGGTACGCCGTCCCCCAAGGCAGAGCGGGCGCGTTGGAAGGGACGATGCGGGGTGAGTGGCATTCTCTTCCTTGCGGCTCCGCACGCGTATGGATTGCGGCCGCGCGGCAGACACTCTTTTTTTGTCCACGCCACAGGCATTTTGTCCGCAGCCCTTTGTATTGCGCGCCGCATGCAGTCGATGACGCACGCGATCATCTTATCCCGTCCTCGTCTCCCCCACCCGCACTAACTTGATTTCAATTTCTTCTCCACAGGCTACTTCCCCGCCGACACCTCCACCTGCCCGCAATTCCTACGGCACAAATCCTTCCTCGCCTCGCCCTCGCTCCTCTCGCAGTCCGCCGTGCGCCCGAACCACCTCGTGCAGCACGCCGGCGAGTTTGTCGTCACTTTTCCGAGGGGATATCATGCGGGATTTAATTTGGGTGAGTCGCCCTTCTTTCGTACTGTGGTGCATCTTGGCTAATTAATTTGCTCCAGGCCTCAACTGTGCGGAGAGCGTCAACTTTGCGCTAGACAGCTGGTTGGACGAGGGAAGGAAGGCTGGGGTTTGTGGATGTGTCGATTTTAGGTGACTATATCTCGTTCTCTACTGTGCAATAAAACTAACGAAACAACCCCTTCAGCGTCCGCATCGACGTCGACCAGCTACTCGAAGACCGCCGCATCGACGCGCTCGAACTCACCGACCCCGCCGCCGCCGCGCACGCCCGCGCCGTTCGCGATGGCCTCATCCCCGACGGCGACCTCGAGGGCGACGGCGCTGCCGTCCTCGACGTCGACATGCCTGCCGTCGACACCCCTGCGCCCTCCGCCACGTCCAAAGGAAAGCAAAAAGCCACGCCGACCAAGACGCCGACGCCCTCCACGGGCGCGGCCAAGCCCCGCCAAACGCCGCGCAAGCGCAAGCCCACCGCGCCGTTTGAGCCCGAGGGCCCGGCGCCCAAGCGCGTGCGGATAACAGCTTCCATCGCTGGTTCCTCCGCGCACCAACAGCACGCCCACGCATCGACCTCGACCGCAGGCGCCTACGTCCCCTCTTCGCACCAACCTGCCCCGCCCAAGATCACGCTTAAGATCGCCCCCCGGCCCCCGCTCCCCTCCTCCCACTCTTACTCTTCCAGCTCCTCTTCGCACCACGGCCAATCCTCCTCTTCGCACAACCACCAATCCTACCAGCACGCGCCCCCGTCCGGGTACCAAATCAGCATCGCGACCCAACCGCAGACCTTCCCTTGCTGCCTCTGCGTCGCGCCCTCGCATACGGGGCTGCTGCGCGTACACGACCTGCCCGCGGCGTGGCGCGAGATCGGCGGCGCGACGGCGGTGCACTACCCGCCGAGCGCGGGCGGGAAGGGCGTGTGGATGGCGCATGAGGGGTGTGCGATGGTGTTGCCCGAGACGTGGGTGGATGAGGTCGTTGTCAGTGGGCATGGGGGAGAGCGCAGGACGGAGAGGGTGGTCTTTGGCGTCGATGGGATCGAGAGGGCGAGGTGGAATCTGGTTAGTCATCTTTCTCCCCCATTCTCTCAAAAGTTAATTGACGCGTGCATCGCAGAAATGCTCCACCTGCCCCACCCAGCTCGCCAAAGCGCATGGCGCGCTCATCCAGTGCGTAAAGGGCAAATGCTCCAAGGCGTTCCACATCAACTGCGCGCGTGCGGGCGTGGAGGAGGGCACGGGCATCGCGTACACGGTCGTGCGCGAGGTAGAGAAGGAGGTCGTGTTGCTCGAACCTGCGCCTCCCTCGCATGGAGGAGGAGCGGAGCCCAACCTGCGCGTGCTCAAGGTGATCCACAAGACTGAAGTCGAGGCCCTTTGTGCGCAGCATAATCCCGTGCGTCCTTCCCTCAATTTTCTAGGTGGTGGGTGATGCTAACGCAAAATGCACGCAGGTAATCGTCGCCTCCCGGCGCGCCTCCAAAGCCGAATCCCTGCGCGCCGACGTCCTCGCCCTCCCGCCCCTCTCGCGCATCAAGATCCGCGTCTCCTCCGGCGTCTTCGAGGTCACCCTCATGCGCGTGCTCGAGGACCGCCGCGCCGTCGAGGTGCTGTGGGACGCGGGCGAGGTGCGCGAGGTCAAGTGGACGAATATCGTCTTGGGTCTCGGTGTGGGGCAGATTGAGTATGGTGGGTCTCCCTCACTTCTCCGCCTCCCCCTCCTTTCTGTTCCTTTGTGGAGTGAGCTGGGCTGACAGCGATATAGTCCCAGACGCGAATCAGAACGCTGTTGTTCGCGCGCAGAGTGTCAATGCGGCGGCGGGACCGAGTGGTGCTGGACAACGTGCGATTGCGCCCTATCCCCCGTCCCCTTCGCCTGTGTCTGCTCAGTACGGTGCCCAAGGTCAGGGATACGCGTCGCAGTACCCGCAGCAGCAGCAGAACGCCCACCCATCGTCGTCCGCGGCAGCGGCGCCGCGCTACTCCCATACCATCCACCTCCCCGCGCGCGCACCACCGCAGCCGGCTCCCCAATATCCGCATCAACAGCAGCAGCAGCAGCAGCAGACTCCGTACGCGCCGAGCCAGTATCAGCAGCAGTTGGCCCAGCCGCACGCTCAAGTTCCGAATCAGCAGAACCAGCAGCACAGCCCGTCCATGACGCAGAACCCATACAGCGCGTACTGGTCCAGCGCGTACGGTTCCTACGGCGCGGGCCAAGGCAAAAGCGGCACGTACGGCGGTGCGGCCCCTGCGAACGGTGCCGGACCCCCCGCCGGCGCTGTCACCACGTCCCCGAATCCGAATCCGTACAAGAGTGGCACGTACGGCGGGGCCCCTCCGACCCCTAATACCAACACCGGCTCGCCGAGCTCCACCCCCGCCGCGGCCGCGCAGCACGTTCCTGGCGGGCAGGGGCAGGGACACTACGCGTCCACGGCACAGTACTACAGCGCCGCGTCGCCATACTACCGCTCCACGGCGGCAGGGCAGGGGTATTATCCCTCGAGCGCGTTCCAGGCGCCGGGGAATAATAGTGCGCAAGGGTATGGAGGGCGTCAGCAGGCGACGTTTACGGTGCAGCCCCAGCAGGCGCCGCAGGCCCAGCAGCAGTCGGTGACCGTTGAGCAGCAACAGCCACAGCAGTCGACGTTCTCTGTCCAAGAGACGCAGAAGTCGACGCCCGCGTCTTCGGTGCAATCGCAGCCCGTGTTTGCGTCTGCATCGATCTCGAGCTCCGCGACTCCAGCGCAGAATACGAGTCCAAATCCAAATCCTAGTGCTAGTGCTACTCCTCCCGCTACTGCTACTTCTACCCCTGCTCCTGCTCCTGCTCCCCAAGCTCAGCCGCCCACGGCCACTGCACCAACGCCAACGACCCAGGCGGAACCCTCTGCCCCAGTCCCAATGCACGTCGACGTCCAGCCCCAGCCCGCCGTCGCCGTCGCCGCCTGACCTGACGATGATAGACCAGTCCAATCCAGCCCAGTCAAAGCCCAGATAAACCACCACCTCATGACCAGGTCGTC